TAAATAAAATTTTGTCATTCTATTTAAGTTACAATTTTAACAATATAAAAAGTAGCATTAGTCTATTTATTTTTGTTATATAATTTAATATTTATTTAATATTTATATAATATGTTTTTTAACTATAATATATATTATTTACTAATATAATATAAATATGTATATTAGAGAAAATTTTGTTTCACTAAATTATAATGTTTTCATATTTGATTTTAAAATTATAATAACATGGTTTTAGCGTAATGGTTATTGCTATTTATGTATTATATTATATATTTTGTGTTATATATTTTATTGTAATTTTCAAATATTTAATATGTTTTATTTAGATTATTTTATTATTTAAAATTATAATAATTGTTTGATGTGTTTGATCTTCATATCATATGTTGGATCCATTTGATCTGTATTTGTCCAATTGATTTGCATAATTTCCAAACGTTCTTGATCTGTTTTTAACATTCGGAATATGAGTGAAGAAAAAAAGAGAAATTTGATGATGTTGATCCATCAGCTTTTCGACAGTCCTGCTCCCACTCACTCACACCTATAAACATTCTCTCTCCTCTCTATTTTATAAGGAAAAATGATTGTGAGCTACCTAAAGTATCGACCACTACATGACTAACCATGCAAACTAAATAAATGCACACTCAACTACACGAAGTATATGATATGCATGCTAACATCCATAAACTTTATGTTGTTATGTAGCTAACATCATAAAATCTTTTTTTTTGTTAACCTCTATTTTTATCACATTTACTGAATATTTATAAAATTAAAAAAAAGTTTTCATAAACCTTTTTATAGTAAGATATTTAAAAAAATTAGTTTATTAAAAATGTTTATAAAAAAAATTATAAAGATATAAAACATTTTGAAAAAATATTTTTGAAATGACTTAACTATTTAAAATCAAAAATATATGTTATATATAAAAATAATTATTTCACATAACCCAAAAGTATTGGAGAAATTTTACTTTTACCGTACTTTTGATATCATTATTCATGTTTACTTTCCTTATTAGAGGAACATTTTTAAATATACCTAAGTATTAAGTTTCATTAAAAATTCAAACACTCTTCTACCCTCACTTTATAGATATATAAATATAAATAATTATTTAATTAAAAAGAATTTTTATTTTATTTTTTTATTATACGTTTTAAAATTAATTGTTTTTAAAATTTTATCAATTTTCTTTTCTAAAAATTTCTTTTGCAATTTTTTTTTATTTTTAATATTTTTTATTTGTAAATAATTACTTATATTTATATATCTATAAAATAATGATCGAAAATTATTTTTTCCCTTCAGTGAAAAATGTATTTGTAAAAATATTTCCTTAATGAAGGAAAATATGAATTATGCTACAGTAAATGTGGTAAAAGTAGAATTCCCCCTTAAAAATCATATATAAAAATTAATGTTAAACTAACAAATTGTTAAAAATATATAAAAATAAATACTAAAATAATCATATATAAAAATAAATGCTAAGCCACCAAACTATTAAAAATATAAAATTAAAATAAAGTTAAAAGTGTTTTCTAAAATAACATTAATTTTAAATATTGTTCTTTAACACTTTTGAAAAAAAAAATTCATAATAATAAAAATATAAGATATAAAAAGGTTCTTCATATCTTACATCATTTTTTATATTTTAGCTATTTTATTAAGTAATTAGTCTTGTGATGTAATTAATAGTATTTTTTCTTGTGATGTTACCTACATAACAACATAAAGTTCATGGATGTTACCATGCATATCATATACTTCATGTAGTTGAGTGTGCATTTTATTATTTTGCATGGTTAGTCATGTGATGGTCGATACTTCATGTAGCTGACAATCATTTTTCCATTTTATAATCATATTCACATGTTTCTATGTAAATTCTGTAACGATGTATAGGTACAAAATGTTCATGATGAAATTGTAATATTTTAAATTGTGATATATAGAAAGGTTTAAGAGGATTAATTTGGTTATTTATATCATTAAAGTGTATTTATTTTTTTGGGAGCACATCGAAAGAGAACTCTAGAGTTAAGCGTATTTGAGTTGAAGTAGTTAAAGGATGGATGGCCTATCGAGAACTGAAGCCAAAACATAGAAAAATTCATAAGGTGATTGCAGGGTTAGTACACATGACTCTAGAACCTTGGAATATTAGCGGACCAGCAGTTGAAATGGAATGGGGCCCACCGGCCGAGTGAGCGGACGTGGGTGGCCCATTAGATGTGGGCGGTAAGGACGTTACAAGTGGTATCATAGCTGGTTAGCCATCTCAGTTCTGACCTAAGAGGCGTCTTGAGACCTGTCGTGGGGCGCAACGAGGACGTTGTGTTCTTTGAGAAGGGATGAATTGTAACATCCCGAGTTATGATATATGGAAAGACTTAAGAGGATTGATTTAACTACCTGTGTCACCAAAGTGCATTTACATTTTCGGGAGCACATCCAGAGAGAACTCCAGAGTTAAGCGTGATTAATTTGAAGTAGTCAAATGATGGGCGACCTATCGGGAAGCGATTTGCGATATCGCGTAAATGAGACCAAAACACGGGGAAAAGTCATGTGGTAATTGCATGGTCAGTAAACATAACTTTAGAACCTTGGAATGTTAACGGATCAGCCGTTGGAACGGGATAAAATCCACGAGCCAAATGAGTGAGCATGGATAGCCCATTAGCCGTGGACGGTCAGGTCGTTACAAAATCCCCAAATTATATTTAAAAATGGTGGTTGCTTATAGTGACTACGCTTGCCGTGTGTATAAAATGCATCTTTATAATTAAATTGATTGTTCACAAAAAAGTGACTGTTCATGCACTGTTTTGTTGGTTTATCAAATTTTGTTTTGGGTCGATGTCACGGATTCAAAGCACTTACGGACTACATTAGCACTAGTAGAGCATAAAACTATATGCACATACATCAACATAGAAATATAATAGAAGTAAAATAGAGATTTAATACATTGCATATGGGTTTAAACAAAAATAAAATTAAAAAAAAATACATTGCATATGGGTAAGAAAGAACATGTCAATTAGAATTCTAATGGATATTCTATTATCATTAGATTCAGGTTATTATGAAATTTCAACTTAAAACCAATTAATTGATAAATGCATATTATGTTACCAAGAGATTTGAGTTATTATGAGATTTCAACATAAAATCAATTGATTGATATATGGATTGGTTATAATCCTTTTATATATACTACTTAATGTTTCTTAAAAAAAAATTCTGATGTATGGTACTGTATCTTTAATATCCTTCTTCAAAATAATTATTCTTATTAGTCAAAAATTTTTGAATAGAACATTTATATTCGGTCAAACGAATTAGTGTAACAGTTATATCCGGTCATACAATTAAATATAACCTTTGTATCCAGTCGCAATAGTTATATTAACTAGGAATTTTGAGGATATTATCATGTTAGATTCATATTTGTTATGAAATTTTAACTAAAAAAAAATTGATTATAAGTGGACTTGCCCTAAATTTTTATATATTATTTAACATTTTACTAAATTTTTATGTGTGATACATTATCCCTAATATATTCATTGCTAAGTAAAAAGTGATAAAAAAAATTAACAGAGAGTGTCAATCATTTGAAAATTTTCAGGAACCCATGAAAACTCCAAGTCTTCAACGATGTATATGTCTTTCATTTATTGTTTTTTTTTAACTGATAATTGGTTTATTTTTATTTATTAAACTTTAATTCAATAAATTTTAAAAAATTATTATTTTTGTGTGAGATGAGATGTTCTAACTTATTAGTTGGAGATCGTCTAATTTTTTTTTTTTTGTCGAATGTTAAATTTATCGATCGTCTAATATTCTAAAAGGTTTTTGTGTGTTTTGATTAGTTGGATGTGGTATTAGTAGGAGATAAGTAAGGACACATTCTAACTTTTTTTTGCTTCTGCTGATCTAGGTTGTATGGAGAGAGTTTTTTCTTTTATTGTACACCCATCACTTGAACAACTTTGGTTTCATGTATTTGGCCTATATAAAAACAAACATCGTAATTGACACGGCCTTTTGGGAAATTTACGCTAACTGTATAACATGTATGTCGTTTTCAACATCTAGGTGTCTAAATTCACATATTCATAAACACATATTCGCGTGATGAACGATCCACGTAAATGCAATATTGCATGAGAGAGAAATTAAAACTATAGAAGAAGAAATAAAAGGGAAGGTTACTCTGGTGGATCGATATGAAAAGGAAAGAAAAACGAAACCCACTAAAGCCATTACATGATATCGACCTTCGTATCTTTTTCTTCTTTATTTCAAAACTTTTTCTTTTCATTCTCTTTTGCATTTGTCATGACTTTTTCTCTAATGAAACCTCCAAACTATATATCTAACCAATCGATTCAAAAGGCCCATATATGAATAAATAATTTAAGCTATACTTTATAAACCATGACAAGATTGGGAAGTGCTAAACCGTAGAACCACTAAAATAACTAGACATTTTTCTGTAGAAAAAACTATAAAACTAGTAGAATCATTACGTCAAGAATCACTTATAATGATCATCAGTTAGGGCTTTAGTAAAAACGTTCTTGATTAGCCAAAAATAGAAGGAAAACATTGTTGTTAAAAACCAATCTCTTCTCTCTCTGATTATGTTTTTGCTAAACCCAGTTAAATTCAAACAATTTATTAAGTCCAAAGATAAACATGGGATAACAATTCGATGTAAGAAAATCATCTGTTCATGCTCCATTCTTTACTAATTATAAAACTCACACAAACCACCAAAACCATTCCCTACAACTCATCTTCATCGAAGGTTCACCCACTCCCACTCCCACTGAGGAAACAAAAGAAAAGAAAAATATATATACAAGACATGATGCTGGTGCAATATACACACCAAAGTATTAAATCTTAGATATTGTGGGTCTCCCATCTGTCTTCCCTGTACTCCCCCATTTTCTTATTCCATAATGAATACTCTCTTCACATTAGTCAGTCTCCAACAACAACAATCCAATAGTATCATTACAAATAAATCTTCGATAAGCAGAACCTCCACCACCACTAGTGGCTCTCCACAAACTGCTTATCACTACAACTTCCCACAAAGCGACGTCGTCCAAGAATGCTTCAACTGTTTCATGGATGAAGAAGATCTTTCCTCTTCTTCTTCTCATCACAACCATGATCACCACAACAACAATCCTAGTAACTACTACTCTCCCTTCACAACTCCCACCCAATACCATCCCGCCACATCACCAACTCCTTCCTCCACAGCCGCCTTGGCCTCACCTTACTCCTCCGGCTACCACCAAGACCCCTCCGCTTTCTCCATCCCTCAAACTCCTCCTTCCTTCGACTTCTCATCCAATGCCAAGTGGGCAGACTCCATCCTCCTCGAAGCCGCACGTGCCTTCTCCGACAAAGACACCGCACGTGCACAACAAATCCTCTGGACGCTCAACGAGCTCTCTTCTCCCTACGGAGACACTGAGCAGAAACTCTCTTCTTACTTCCTCCAAGCTCTCTTCAACCGCATGACCAGCTCAGGCGAACGATGTTACCGAGCTATGGTAACCGCCGCAGCCACTGACAAGACATGCTCCTTCGAACAAACGCGCAAGACCGTGCTTAAGTTCCAAGAAGTTAGCCCGTGGGCCACGTTCGGACACGTGGCGGCAAACGGAGCTATCTTGGAAGCAGTAGACGGAGAGGCAAAGATACACATCGTTGACATAAGCTCAACGTTTTGCACTCAATGGCCGACTCTTCTAGAATCTTTAGCCACAAGATCAGACGACACGCCACACCTAAGACTAACCACAATAATAGTCGCTAATAAATACGTCAACAATCAAACGGCGTCACATCGTATGATGAAAGAGGTAGGAAACCGAATGGAGAAGTTCGCTAGACTCATGGGAGTTCCTTTTACATTCAATATTATTCATCACGTTGGAGATTTATCCGAGTTTGATCTCAACAAGCTAGATATTAAACCAGACGAAGTCTTGGCCGTCAACTGTGTAGGTACGATGCATGGGATTGCACCTCGCGGAAACCCTAGAGACGCTGTGATATCTAACTTCCTACGGTTAAGGCCTAGGATTGTGACAATAGTTGAAGAAGAAGCTGATCTTGTCGGAGAACAAGAAGGCTTTGATGATGAGTTCTTGAGATCTTTTGGAGAAATTTTACGTTGGTTTAGGGTTTGTTTTGAGTCGTTGGAAGAGAGTTTTCCGAGGACGAGCACTGAGAGGTTGATGCTAGAGCGTGCGGCGGGACGTGCGATCGTTGACTTGGTGGCTTGTGAGCCGTCGGATTCGACGGAGAGGAGAGAGACGGCGAGGAAGTGGTCGATGAGGATGAGGAATGGAGGGTTTGATGCGGTGGGGTTTAATGCTGAGGTGGCGGATGACGTCAGGGCTTTGTTGAGGAGGTATAAGGAAAGAGTTTGGTCGATGGTACAGTGCTCTGATGCCGCCGGGATATTACTTTGTTGCAGAGATCAGCCGGTGGTTTGGGCCAGTGCGTGGCGGCCAACGTGAATGGACATAATGATTTTTTTTAATTAGCACGCGCTGGCTTGTTGGTTGAGATGGTTTCGCACGTGTGGTGATGCTTGATATATGATGGGTTTTGTTTATAATGCGTTCATGATTTGAATGCTTTTGGAATAGTACTAATCAAATTGTGATCATTGAAGAGGAGGGTTCATATATTCGTGATTTTTTTCTTAAATATTCCATCCTTTCTCTTTTTGATTTAAAAATCTGTGATTAGTTTGGTTTATGCAAAAGAATAGGGTTTAATTTCCTTTATTTTGAAATTACTTTTCATACACGAGGTGCTCTAAACTATATATTGTTATAATTCTAATTATATAGGTGAACATTTGTTGTGAGGAGAGCCGTGTCTATAGTGCATCCAAAAAGGCATTTGCCCCAGGCCTCCAATGAATATAACATTTTTAGGGGCCCCTAAAACCAGAAATCATTCTTAGTTTAGTGGTTAAGAATATTATTTTTGATCTCTTTCTGAGTTCGAACAACCTCTCCGGATTTCAACTTTCTTTTTTTCTTATATAATGTAATTCTAGCTCTAATTTTTAGGTAAAATATATTGCTGAAGTAGTTTTAATATTTTGGACTTTATCTATGTAGTTGGCTAATATGTTTGTGTTAAAAAATTGTTTTCAGTATAAATTCTTTGCCTTAGGCCTCAAAAGTTCTTCGCACGGCACTGGTTGTGAGTTAGGTACTTTTACATTGAATGATCAATTAGCCCGAGATTATAACGGATTATATATAGCTCTTCAAAGTCAGCAAGAGTACATTATTACGAATTGAGGTTAGCATCATTCCATGTTTCTAATACATAATAGCTTGCTCGCTACGATGTTGTTCAGTACTTCACTTGACTGTGGTTCTTGTGTATATATGAATCCTAGGACATCTACTTTGAGTTTCGTGAATTTAGCTCAAGTGGTCTGCACACTTCTGAAAATGTAAACATATTTTTGATCATTCATTAACATAGAAAAACTAAGACCATTTGATTTCGTAATAGTAATCACTTTATGATACTAGAGGCAACCAGCTAATACATTCATATGCAATACAAGTTTATGATATTAATGGGAACCGGATAATATATTAACATTTACATTTTTGATGTGTGGTGTGTATTGAACTAAAGAAAAATATTAACGTCTTATACACGACGATTAGTTAATCACAAAATTATAGCTTATTCATTTGTCGTTCTTGTAAAGTGTATACCATTTATTTATACTAGCTTTTTAATAATGCATCACTCAACTTTGCTTTGTAGAAGTGATAAAGGGACCAGTCTTTTATTTGATTCATATATATATATATAAATATTATGTCCTCAATGGATTACACATGTATATGCCTAAGACTGTGCACGGTCCCCCTTGCCATCATGTTTTTCTTTAGAAAACATCCATAAAAGTAAATAATTGAAATAAATAGTTAATCCCATGATAGATGATACCATTCCTTACATATATAGCCTTTTTAATTTGAGAAACGAAATAAAAATATGAAAAAGTAGTGGGTACTGTTTTTGAGAGATATGTGGCTGCTTTTACTACAACCCTCCCCTAGCAACTTTTGATGAGGCTTTTGCCACTTCCATGTTACACCATGATGAATCAGAGTTTTTAGCAGAAATTAAAAGATAGTTTTTAAAAAAATCTCACTTTAAGAACCTTAGAGCATCCTCGACGCGAATGCTTGCGGAGGTGATAAAACATGGAGTCCACTAGAACAGAAGAAGAAGCGGAGCCAAAATGGCCAGATTAAACGCTGGAGCTTGCACTATTTCACGGGTTCCATTGACATGTGGTAGTCTGCGATTGATTGCTTTTTAATTTTTTTTTGTTTAGTCAGATAAAAAATTAAAAAAGAAAAAAATTAAAAATAAGCACCCCTCCCGACATCCCATACGTTGATCATGTTCTTCGATTAATCATGCTCTTAGTATTGGTACGATCTCTTAGCTTCGCTTTCTAAGCTATCTAGCTTCTTTTATTGGTCTGTTTTCTTGTTTATAAAGTCATGCAAAAAGCAAATCATACGATAAAAATCTACTGGTTGGTCCATTTTTTGCTTTAACAAGGATCAAAACCTTGTTGGGTCCCTTTGTGGCACGACTTGACCTTTACACACATATAACTAGAAAATGCCTAAATTCATAGGGGATGTCTCAATATTTAATCCCATGATGTAAAGGTTAATTTTAAGGGTCATTTTAACCTATTCCATTTTTTCCTAATGTATTATGTATCAGTGATAAATCGAGTGTTGTAAGCATTTATTTTTGTATAGATAAATTAAAGGAGAGATGTGTTATCTAATTAAGAGAAATGAGCTATGATAACATTATAGAAAAGTAGCTTTTAAGAATTTCATGTTTGTGTGACAAACTAGTTTTACTGTCATTTTCAATCGCATGTTTGTTGAAACCATTCGATATCACATGATCATGACTAACTATGCAATGCAGCATGTTGATACAACACGGCCTGCATGCAGCTAAGCTATATCATCAAAACAATTTGTAAGTTTAGTTATAAAGCTTTTTAATTTTGTTAAACAAATGGAGAAAACATATTTTGACGTAACAAACAACACAAAGGTGGCGTAAGCAATACTGTAGATGCCTAATTAAATCACATAATAAAAGAATAAGGTGAATATCAGTTAACTCATTATCCCTTCCAAATACAAACATTAAAATCTAGGATCCTTCCATATGCATCACGTCTCTACATATAGGATACTATTAACGGCATATTAAATTATGTTGATTATCTTTAATTTTCTAAAATGGCATTTTAATTATTAACAATTATCTCAATAAATCACGAGATAAGAGCGTTCACGGAATTAGGGTTGAAAGAAGCGAAGGATCTTGTTGAGAAAGCTCCTGTTGTTGTGAACACTGGTCTTACCAAGGAGGAAGCTGAGAAGAGTATGGAGAAACTTAAAGCTGTTGGTGCTACTGTTTCTTTGGAATGAGAGTTTATTATCAGATACAACTCTCTATGAATGTTTCTACTCCTGTCTGGTGATAATTTCTTTATAGAAAGGTTGTTTCTTTGGCTTCTGGTCTATTGTATCGAACTTAATTGAACTTTCTTGTAACCCACGTCTCACAAACCAATCTGCTGTAGCTTTGGAAATTAGTTTTAAGTCTCAGAATTTATCATCAGACAACTCTTATGAATTCTACTCTTGTCTGGTAACTTCTTGTAATACTTTGATTTTATAGAAAAGGCCTTGTGGTCGAGTTTTAAGCAGAAACCGCTTTTCTAGCGTGAGAGGTGAAGTTTTCTTCTATATGTAATTTGCAGAAACAGATTGTGTTGTGTGTTGATTGTTTGTTTTGTCTAGTTTTTGAAAACTTGATACACACGTCTAAGTTTAAAATGAAACACTCACCCTACAGACAGATATCTGTTTAAGTGGCTTAGTCTTTACTCACCACCTATAGCAAGACCTTGCTCACCAGACCACAATCTATTACCAAAGTCAAATCCAACACCATTCTGAAAGATGGAAGTGTGGCTTCCGTATCACCATTCACTACAAGAAAACAAAGCATTTACTAGGAAATTTTACTAGGAAAATTCTTCCTCGTAAATTTACTAAGCCTTTACTAGGATCTTACGAGGAAAGCAAATTTCCTCGTAAGTTCCTCGAAAACTTACGAGGAAACAATTTCCTCGTAAGACCTTAGTAAATTTACGAGGAGCTTACGAGGAAAAAGTACTTTTCCTCGTAATGCCGTAGTAAACACTTTCCTCGTAAAGGCGTAGTAAAATATTACTACGAAATTAGGAGGAAATAGTTGCTTACTACGAAATTAGGAGGAAATAGATAGGAAATATCGAA